TTGGAAAGTTCGAGTTAAGGCCCGTGAAAAAAGAGATTACCTACCTCTGACAATGCAGGCTTGTGACCGTTTCAAGCAATATGATTGGTCTAAATGGAACATACTTCGTACGCTTATTATTTTACCACGGGAAACAATGCAGCTCTTTTTGGAATGTACGCCCCTGACGGAGGAGGCTAATATTATAATAGCGAGGATCAGTGGTGTCAAGTAGCGAAGTAAATGTACTTCGTCACTGTACTTGAGTACTGTTTTCGAGAAATCAGCATGTAATAAAGTAGACTTTTTCTGGGCTACTTTTAATTGGAACGAAGTCATTTTATTATAGAAACGTTTTACTTCGTTATTTTCATTTTGTGGTGAAGTATTTCGTTACCTTCTAACTTTTGTTTAATTTTACGTGATTTATTCCTGATTTATGCGTCTAGGATCTCTCGTTTGTGGCTTACTTATAAGCATTATTAATTTAATGGATTTCTAATTATATCTTCAACGGGGTCTGTAAAGCATGCCGTAAAATATTGTATAGCAGGTGCACGCATATAATGCGCGTGTTGTTTTGTGTCTTTTGTATGTCAATCCATCAGTGGAGAAGTCCGGGCCCACCTCTACACGCTACAGACAATAGTACTTTTACTTTACTTCAAGTATTTTTTAAAGACCATGTCACATGTGAAGTCCGTAATGTAAACAAACGCTTTGTTTACATTTTGAACTCAGTGCTACAGTTGTAAAATATGATTAGATATATATTATACTGAATTTTTAACACTCTTCTGGTTCGCTATGCTTGTAAATGAAGACAGATAGAGGTTCAATTCAAGAAAGTTCAAAACATACGAAATATTAATAACATTCCAACGGTCGGGAACGGTCGGGTCCAACACCGCGGAAAAACGTCTGCGCATGCACCAAATTATGAAAATATGGCGGGGAATTTGAATATCAATTTCTAAAACGAAAACATGCTTATTATAAATTGCGGGTCAAAAATTAGTAAAACAAACGAGAGAATATAGCAAATGGGTAGACTAGACATTAATTGAAAGCGTCCTGGCATTTAAAGTATGGAATGAAATATAATTCATGTAAAAAAATGTTGATTTTAACGGACACGACTTCGAAAATTTTTGCAAAATTATTCAAAACAAAAATTCAAACTCAAAAGTTAAGAAAACTCTCGAAAAGTTAAGCTTCTTAACCCACTCAAATTGTAGAATAAATCCTAAAGTTTAATTATTGTGAACACGCAATTTTTTTATATTTGGCGACACAGTTTTTTTTAAAGAAATGTATCTCAAACGAAAATTCGGAAATTGTCATTGCTTAGTTGATAAACAAAATGTTTCAGACGATAAATTTGTCAACAATCACCTTTAGTTCATGTTCTTGTACAATACAATTTCTTGAACCTTCTGGCTGTATTTATTTCTAGTTTTTAGAATGACATGTTTATTTTTGCGCTTGACATCTGGCTGTAAAGACGCACAATGAAGTCACTCCTTTTTACCGCCATTTTGAGCCTTCGGAAACGTTCGGAACAGCTTCTCATCAAGTTCGCAATACTATTACAGCATCTACAGCTAAGGTTGACGCATGCGCAGACGTTTTTCCGCGGTGTTGTCGGGTCCCGACCATTGGAATGTAAGCCTGCGCAGAACGTATGCGTAAAACGGACTTTACATGGTCTTACTTACATGGATATTTTGTACTTTTTACTCAGAGTATGCCGCCATTGCCGCGTCTGACATTTAACAAAATAACAAATATAAAACATTTTCCATGTTGATATACAGTTATATCAACACGAGTGGAAATGGGGAAAACTCGAAATTGTGTGGAAACACGACGCCCGAAGAGCGGAGTGTTTTCACACAATTTCGAGTTTTCCCAATTTCCACGAGTGTTGATATAGTATATCAATATGGAAAAAATGTTTTATATTTGTTTTATAATATAGCACACAGAAATATAAAGAAAGACATTTTTCGACGTTTCCGTGTTGACATTGAGTTATATCAACACGGCTCTTAGCCAATCAGCGTTCAGAATTTACAAATGCTATATTATAAACAATATATAACACATAATAAAACAAGTTGGTTTACTTAACATATTATAATACTGTAAGGTAATTGTCCGGCGTCACTCGTATGAGCTGTTGGAATCCCCGACATCGCTGCGTTATAATAAATACCTGTCCAATAATAAGGCCATGGGTTTATATTTCTTCAGGGGCTTATATTCTAGGGGGGGCTGTGCGTTAGTGAATATGTTGGGCTTATGTGTGGAAGGGCTTGTATTCGGGAGGGGTTATATTCGGAGGTTTACTGTATTTAACCCATGCCATATATTAAGATAATTTTTCTTCACGAACTATGTTTGTCTCCCTTTACTTGACAGCAGAGATATTCATATAGTCTACTATAAATACTAATTTAGGCCACATAAAAAAAAATAGTTGGTTAGCGTCCCCGCCCGCCCACAAAAAAGGCCCCGCTCAGGATTTTTTTTTATTTTTTATTTAAAAAAAAACCGACTTTTATTGATCAACGGGCTCTAATATATGTAGTATTTCTGTTGACTGTAGTCAATTGTGTTAATAATTTGCGAAATTGCGTGCGAAAATGACGGTATGAATTATATTTTGAAATATATAAAAAAATATCTGTACTGCGCAAGAAAATCCAGTTTCGGACCTAACAGTGAGTAAAACCAAGGCGTTAAAAATTTAGTAAAAATTTAAAAAAAAAGCGCCCGCCCGCCCACTTTTTGGAAAAAGCCAAGGACGCTAACCAACTATTTTTTTTTTATATGGCCTTATGACTTCATTTTATATTTTTTTAACTTAAAAAGTAGTAAAAGTTTTACCAAACAAGAGTGCAATAAACGGCTAGTTAAGCTATAAGAGAAGTTTAAGTATATTAAAAATGCGCATATCCGCATTGTTCCGATTATAGTTCATCACATATAACGGAATGAAAGAGTTTTTAAAACCTCTTTAATGGGGAAGGTGATCGATCAGAATTCCCAATATGAACCCGATAACAGAACCAAACAAACCTCATTTGCGTTGCAAGTTATCGTGATGCCAGGAGTTTTGAAAATCGACCCTCAAACATCTTCCATTTTCTCTGATAATACCCCCGTCTCTTTTCGACACAGCAAAAATATCCGAGACATCCTAATTTGAAGCTCCCTACCACAGGATTCGTCGTCAGATAATGGCACGTTTCCTTGTTAATTGGGTGCCTCAATGTAAAACCTGTAAGTTCATAGAATCTTCTCACTACGTGGGTAGTGCTAATGAACACCCATACCAGTCATATCCAGGGGCGTAGTATACCATTAATTACGGTTCGCTTTCTTCGTCATGTGGAAAATTTATGCCCAAGAATTTTTGTACCCCCTCCTGCGATTTCTAATAGTGTGCCCCTAAACACAAGTAACTCAGGCTACTCAGCGGTAACCTGTCCGAGGCAGCACTTTACCTTACGACTTCTTGTTATTAATTATTCCCAGTCACCGTGAGAGTGAGACGATTTTTCCTTGGTTTCAACTCTAGTCAGGTAGCTGTGTTAGTAGCCTCGTCAGTAGAAACCAGAGTATAGTTTTAGAAAATCTTCATCTTTTAGGAATGTTAATAATTAATTAATAACTGAAAAGGTCGCGATTTGTATCGGTGCTTATGCCGCTAACTGAAAAGAGATCTCTAACACCGCCGGTGTTGCATGGGCACGTACGTACGACTGCTCAGTCCAATCTCCAATAATTTTCCACTGGCAGAAAAACAAAAGCAATATGGCGGCAATAAATCGGAGAAGACTTCTTAACGTCATTATTTTAAGGAGAATATTAAGAAGAGAAAAGAACAAAAAGAGATTCTGGCTGAGTGCGAGAAATCTATACAAAGAAAGGAAATCTGAGTAATCTCATTGATTTATTCCAACCACGTGAGCCGTTAATTTAACGATCGCGCGCGTTCGCCTGGATTTGAGTTGAACATTTCAACTTCAATCGCGTGTCCACGAGAACCAGAGCGGACGTCACTCTTACACAAGAAACCTACTGCGCATGCCCAAACAAGATCGCATCGAAACAGCCTTTAAAGTATATTTTCCATTACGTCCACTTTACCCGCGTGGGCGAAGCGGCCGTAATGGAAATTTTTTGCGAAGTCAGTTGAAGTGATGTAGCCACGCACAAAATCCGGTGAAAAGACAAATAGCTTCCCCTGCACGGGTGTGTACCCGGAGTGTTACGTATTGGCGAGGGCAAAATGTTCACCATTCTCAATCACAATGGCCACGAAAATTCGGTAATTGTATCAAGTAAGGGGGCGTATGTTTGACCACACATTATTCTCACTATATATGCCCTCTATACCTCTATATTTAAAAAAAACGAAGAAGAAAGAAAAACATGAAGGAGTGGAAGGCAATCCAGCGTACAAATTACGTAAATTGTACTTAACATTTTTTCCACCATAAAATAGTATTATAAGTTTCACCTCCTCTGATTGAATTTCTTCTACTTTTATTTTCTCCATCTCCCTTATCTCTTCACAACTTGTCATATGCTCCGTCGTTGCCTTCCATTTACTGACAAAGTAGTACAATTACCATCTTCTCCTCTGTTATCTCAAACCCAATTTCTTCCTTAGTCATTTCCGTCAAATACTTTTTTCTCTCTATTTCCATGATTCTTTGCTCAGCTTTTTCCGATACCTTCTTTTGCATTCTCTTCGTTATCTTCATTCGGTGGCGGAGTCGTGAGAGCAAGTTAAGCCCCAATATGTGCAGCGCCTTTCGCCTCTGAGTTCGTGGGTTCGATTCTCGAACTCATGTCGGAAAAGAGTCAACAGTCTGCCGAAAGTGGATTTTCTCCGGGTGCTATATAGCTCCGATTTCGACCCACGGGAAAAGTTGACAGGATGGATTAGGATAAATACAGTTAAGAAAGTAATATCACAATTGTACAATATGAAGAAAAATAGTCTACACGGCAAAAAACGCCGAGCCCGTTGCTCAACAGGACTGAACAATGTTTTGCTGCCCACGTTGTTCACACTTGTCAACAATACTGAACAATGTTGTTGAGCCTGAATCGGGTGTAACAACATTGTTCAATATTGTTGACAACTGTGAACAATGTGGGCAGCAAAGCATTGTTCAATCCTGTTTTCATCAGTATTGCATCAACCTGAGCGTTTTTTGCCGTGTAGGCTAAGTATGTAATTAGGTAAGCGTATACTAATTACTTCATGATGTACCGCATTTGATCATATCCAAATGTAAATTTTCGCTATAGAAATGCTAATCATACAGTCGTAATCGTAATTATACAAATAAATGCGGCTAAGTAATCAAGCTTACCAAATAGTTTGGCAATAGGGTTCGTCTAAGCCGAGAAAATAGTTTATGTAAACCAGGACGTAATCTGTATATCCGATATACAGATATTTCCGTTTCCATTATTTTTAATGATATATTTTAATTGATATTTTATATATAGAAAGATTAATTAATCTGCTAATTTACCTCGGCAGGTTTCTTAAAGGCCTACACGCGCTGATCGTATCCGCCTTCACATAAAAAGCTTCCGAATGAGAAAGGTTAAAGAAGGCTAAGTACTACTTAAATTTCTCGTGTTCGATGTTTGTTTTTCGATCAACCACGCATTTCTAGATCTTTTGTTGATTATTTTTCGTGACTTTTTATTCCCTCCAACGTCGGCATGTGCATACCAGTTTACATATAGTTTCCCTTTCGAGAAGTTTGTATATGAGAAGTATATAAAACAATTTTTAAAAAATTCACCTGATGAGTGTAGAAAGACTCGTCTTGTCATACGAAACAAATTTCTAGTGAAATAAAGTTCATAATATGAATATAAGTTTGTCTTCTAATCTTATTAGCTCTACTACGGTATTGAGCAGTATATATATATATATATATATATATATATATATATATATATATATGTAACATGTAACAATGTACATGGCTATTTCATTTAACCTTGGATTTGATTTACCTTCATCGTGTAAGCACATGAAAAGCGACAAAGCAAACGACATCTTGTGCTCGATGTGCTTGACTGATAATAACTATAATAACAAAATTAAATATTCATGTGATCATTTATTGCTGTCACAAGAACCTGCTTCTCTTAATTTGTTGTCGCTAACCAATTTAAAGCACTGCGGAGTGACCACGGGCTTAGCTGTAAGATACAATGGTATCCAAGCTAGATTTCATAAGATTTTCCTGGCAGTGGGAGCGGTTTTTGGCAGTGGGGAGTGGAGTTTTTCTATCAGTAATGTGTGTAGATATTGTTCGACGCTACGCAAGATCAAGCGTTGCAGATGTCCGTGTAGATATTATGCTAATACATCTGCCTCTTTTCATTGTATATTGGAGGGAGACCTTGTTTTTAAGCTTAACCCTGGGCCCACGAATGTGGTATCTTCGAATACCAATATGAACAGTTTACGCCGTATTGGCACCATTGTTTCGAGTCGTCCCGATTATGGGCTAATTAATTCAACAGCATTACGCCCTCCCGTATCTGACTTTGTTCGACGCTCGCAGCAGACAAATCTAATTAGTATTGATTGTTTGCCTCAAATATCTGCGAACTGTCACAATAACTCTCTTAAATTCTGTCTAGTCAACAGTCGCTCAGTCAGGAATAAGACCGGAGATATCGCTGACTACATCGTGCATGATTGCAAGCCCGATATTCTTGCAATTACGGAATCTTGGCTGGGCAGGGATGATGATGCGGTACGAGCTGAGTTATGTCCTGAAGGTTACGAAATGGATGATCACGTGCGTGGCATGCGTCGCGGTGGAGGAATTGCCTTGTTGTATCGAGATTTTCTTGGTGTGACAAAAGTGGATGCAGGGAACAAGAAATCATTTGAGTTTTCTGAGTGGCTGGTTAACTCATCGTCTGCACATCAACTACGTATTCTTGTTGTCTACCGACCTCCTTATTCAAGTGAACACAGGATACCCGTGAGTGTGTTCTTGGCTGAGTTTTTTAGTCATCTAGAACCGTTGTTACTGTGCAAGGAACCGCTATTGATTTGTGGCGATTTTAACATACACGTTGACTCCACTGAAGATCCTGATTCTGTTAAGTTTTGTGATCTACTTGAATCGGTTGGATTGCGGCAGCATGTGAATCAAGCTACCCATGTTAATGACCACACCCTTGACTTAATAATAACACGTTTTTCGGATGATATTATGGATGGCAGACCGGGCATTGATCGGTTTATATCGGACCATGCCGCTGTTGTCTGTCATCTTGCAGCTCCAACGTCATTGATATCGTATCGAAAAATAACTTATAGGAAGTTGAAGTCTGTGGACCGCGATGTTCTCAGGGAGGATCTGGCAGCTACATCACTGTGTACCTCCCGTTATTGTGAGACGGAATATCGGCGAGACGAGAACAGCATTGACGCTTTGGCACGTGAATACAACTTAACTCTCAAGAAATTGACTGATCGACATGCTCCACTAAAAACAAAAGTGCTTCGGGCGAGACCATCTGCTCCTTGGTACAATGTGGATATTGACGCAGCTAAGAGACGACGTAGGAAGGCTGAAAGAGTGTGGCGGAAAAGCAAATCACTGGCTGACTTTACTGAGTTTAAGTCTTCTAGAAATCGTGTGACTTATTTAATAAACAAAGCAAAGAAAACATATTACACTGACTTCATTTCGGACAACAGTGAAAATCAAGGTAAGCTTTTCCGTGCGGCAAGTAAACTGTTAACCACCAAGAACGAATTAAACTTCCCAAATTATACCAACAATACTGCGCTCTGTAATGATATTGGGGAGTTCTTCGTGCGAAAGGTCTCTAAGATTCGCTCTGATGTGGATCGGCCTGTTCTTGATGAAGAATCATGTGCTCCTGTACCCAGTGATCGTTGCGTGCCATCTGATGGTAGTGTTACCCTGGAGTCGTTCCGTTTGCTCAGTGAAGAGGAAGTTCGAGCTCTGGTTATTGCCTCACCCAAGAAGTACTGTGACTTGGATCCAATGCCAATGCCATTGGTGATTGATTGTCTGGAATTGTTACTACCTATAATTACTCATCTAGTCAATAGTTCGCTTATCAATGGATATTTTCCAACTGATTGGAAAGAGGCTCTAGTAAAACCCCTTCTAAAAAAACCAGGACTAGCTGCTTTGTTCAACCATCTGCGTCCGATCAGTAACTTGCAGTTTATCTCTAAACTAGTTGAGCGAGCAGTTTATGATCAGATCTATGACCATTTGATGTTGCATGATTTATTCCCGGAGTATCAGTCCGCATACAGGCAAGGATATAGCACTGAGACCGCCCTTCTGAAGGTCCAAAACGACATACTTTTGAATATGGATTGTCAGCAGGTTACCCTTCTTGTTTATCTGGACCTTAGTGCAGCGTTCGATACTGTCGATCACAACATTTTATTGCACCGATTGGAAACATCTTTTGGGATTACAGGAACTGTGCGAAAGTGGTTTGAATCCTACCTATCTGGACGATGTCAGCGAATAGCATTTAAAGATGGAATCTCTGACATTTTTCCATTAACGTGTGGCGTACCTCAGGGCTCATGTTTGGGACCGCTGCTTTTTACCATGTATGCAAGTAAACTATTTGATGTTATTAAAGAACATTTACCAACTGCGCATGCATATGCTGATGACACGCAGCTTTATTTGTCGTTTAAACCAGGGAACGGTGCGAGTGAGGAAGAGAGTATCGCAGCGATGGAGACATGCATTAAGGCAGTACGTACGTGGATGACTAGGGACAAATTGAAACTGAATGATAGTAAGACTGAGTTTTTGATTATCGGTACAAGGCAACAATTAAAAAAAGTGAACATTGTCTCGCTTCCTGTAGGCGATGTCAACATTACACCGGTAGCATCTGCTAGGAATTTGGGGACTGTGTTTGATAGCAATCTGTGTTTGGTACCCCATATCAACAATACATGTAGACAAGCATTTTTCCACCTACATAATATTCGCAGAATTAGAAAATATCTCTCCGTTGACGCAACTAAAATCTTAGTCCATGCCTTTATCATGGGAAGAGTGGATTATTGTAACAGCCTTCTCTATGGTCTTCCAGCGAAGTCTGTGAATAAGTTACAACGTGTACAGAATGCGGCAGCCTGGCTGGTTTCCGGTGCTTCTCGTTTCAATCACATTACTCCAGTTTTATATGAGCTCCATTGGCTGCCTGTCAAGGAGAGAATAATCTTTAAGATATCTGTATTGACTTTTAAAGCAATACATGGATTAGCGCCATCATACATTAGTGAAATGGTAACAGTTATGAGACCAAGTAGCTATCAGCTGCGCAGAAATAAGGAACTATTGATAGAGCCAGCTAATAACAGAAATACGAAGAAGACTTTAGGTGATAGAGCTTTTAGTTTTGCAGCTCCTACAGTTTTTAATGCCTTGCCGCATTTTATCAGACGAGATAGTAATTTTAATAGCTTTAAGTCTTCATTGAAAACATATCTTTTTCAAATTGCATATTGTACATAGATTTATTCGCTTATCTTAGCATATGTAAATATTATTACTATTACTATATCTTTGTTACGCGCATTTGATCATATTCTCATGTAAATTTGCGCGATATAAATATTAAATTATTATTATTATTATTATTATTGATAACGCCGTAGGAGACCAAACAATGGGTGATTTAGTTGATTGACGTAAGAAATGTATCGTATGTCATAAATGTTAGACTTTGAATTTGATTGTCTGACTGAAAGCACGAGAGAAAACCAGAAGGATTGTTTGTAATATATTTTATCGATTGAATAGTTTTTAAATAAATATGTTTTAAAGTACGCGTGTGTGTTCTATTTCCGATGGTATCGTTCTGATAGTATACAGTCCCCACGAAGCGCAACTGTCTTGCGGTGTAAGACAGAAAAGTGCAACACTTGGTCCATGCGAACCGGATAGATTTCGAAAGAAAGAATCGAGATAGATAGATAGATAGATAGATACGACGATGCCGTTGGACGAGTTGACAAAGAAAAGAAGAACACGCGCAGCGCACAGAGGTTCAGCAACGAAGATAGGAACGAAGATTAAAGAATGTTTAGCGAATGCGAGTGAAACGCCTCAAACGGACAAGAATGTGATGAAACAGCTGAGAGACACGCTGAGCGAGAAACTCGAAGCCTTGAAACTTTTAGATAACGAGATTGTCGAGGTACTAAGTAATAGTGAAGCCGAAGACGCAGAACAACAGCTGGAAAAAGAAATTCAGGAGACAGATGATACGCGAGCTGAATTACAAAAAATAATTCTCGACGTGAATGACGCATTGTTCGAAGCCTTGCCGTCACTACCACAAAGTCCACCATCGAATCTGAGTATGAACGCTACACCCAAACAGACTGTTCGCGCAAGGCTCCCACAGCTAGAGGTCAAAAGATTTAACGGGAAAATTCAAGAGTGGCAAGAATTTTGGGACTCTTTTGATAGCTCTGTCCATCAGAATGACGCTTTATCCGATGTAGATAAATTCGCGTATTTGAAAGGTCTACTGGTTGGTCCCGCGCAGACAACTATCGCAGGGTTCACGTTGACAGCAACGAACTATAAAGAAGCATTAGAACTCCTGAAGACACGATATGGGAAGAAAACGGCGATACAGAGAGCTCATATTCAAGCGTTAATGAACATAAAGCCAGTATACAACGAGCGAGATGTGCGTCGACTACGGGAATTGTACCATGCCTGTGAGACAAACTGCCGAGGTCTGAAAACCCTGGGAGTGGACGAAAGTTCGTATGCTACGATTGTTGTTCCGGAAATACTCGACAAGCTGCCGGAATCCCTTCGTTTGACGATAACTCGTGGGGCAAGTGGATCAGACTTTCTAAGTTGGACGATGAAGGATATTTTAAAAGCACTGCTAGATGAAATTGAATTACGCGAAGCACACGAATCATCTACGACGAACACGTCAAAACAAGAACGAAGGAAACCACAGTTTCTAGATGGATCGGCGGCTGCTCTTGTTAATCATACCACCAGGGAAGGGAAGCCAAGATGCGTATATTGTTTACAAGAACATTTATCACAAGATTGTAAGAACATTCAGAATGCTGGTGAGCGTAAACAGATACTTCGTAAGTACGGACGGTGTTTTGTATGTTTAAAAAGAGGACATATTAGTAGTAATTGTTTAAATACGAGTAAATGTAGTGCATGCAGTAAACGACATCATAGTTCTATTTGTGAGAGCCATGCTAATGGGGTCTATAACCGCTGACGTCGTTCATTCCACACATTCGTGCGTTGGGTCAGCAAATAGAGTAGCATTGCAGACAGCTCAGGCTTTGGTGATGGGAGGAAAGGAGAATGTGAGAGTGCGGGTTATGTTTGACTCAGGAAGTCAACGGTCATTTGTTACGGGCAAGGTAGCTCAGAAGGCAGGAGTGCCAGTAAAGAGGAAGGAATGGGTAGAAATTAGAACGTTCGGACAGGAGAAAGTTGAAGGGAAGTTGAGAGAAGTGTTTGAATTGAATGTAGCCCCAGTACAGGGGGGAGAGAGTGTTAGCATTGAAGTTTATGGAGTAGACAGCATTTCACAGATTAGGAATGAGCATGTAGAGACAAGGAAGAAAGATTACCCACATTTGCAAGGGTTATGGTTTTCCGATGTTTGTAAGACCAAGAATGTGTTAGAAATAGAGTTACTAATTGGCGCAGATTATTTGTGGTTATTTCAAGAAGGGCGTACGGTTAGGGGCAAGAGTGATGAACCTGTTGCGGTACAAACCAAATTAGGATGGGTGTTGTCAGGTCCACTGAAGAGTAGCTCTGAAGATGATGATGGTCCTACATCGTGTGCACAGGTAAGTATAAACCTTATTGGGCATGTAACATCAAAGAATAGGTCCCTTGAAGCATGTGTTAAAAAATTATGGGATTATGAAACGTTAGGTATAAAGCATGAAGAGGAAGCTAGCGAGTTATTAAATGATTCAATACATTTCAATGGCCAACGATATAGTGTAAGTTTACCTTGGAAGGAAGGGCATAGTTTATTGCCAACTAATTATAGCTGTAGTGTGCAGAGATTAAAGGGACAGCTTTTAAGATTAAAGAAGGAGCCAGAAGTTTTACAAGAGTATGATAGAGTAATTAAAGAACAGTTAGAGCTAGGTATTATAGAACCAGTTGTAGAGTTAGAGAGAGCTGATAAGATCCATTATCTACCACATCATGCTGTGGTTCGTAAAGATGCAAAGACCACTAAGGTCAGGGTTGTGTATGATGCATCGAGTAAAGAGACTAAGAAGGGTGTATCTTTAAATGACTGCTTACATGTTGGGCCACCTCTATCCCCGTTGTTGTATCACATTATATTGCGTTTTAGAGAAAAGCGAATAGCGCTTGTAGCAGATATAGAGAAGGCTTTTTTAAATATTGAAATTGATCCGTGTGACAGAGATTGTTTGAGATTTCTTTGGGTGGGCAACATACATGAAGATGAGATGAAGCCAGTAGAGTATAGATTTTGTAGAGTTGTTTTTGGTGTGAACTATTCACCATTTTTGCTGAATGCCACACTTCAACACCATCTTGACCGCTTTTCGAAGGGTAATCCTGAATTGACTCGAAAGTTGAAGGACGGCTTTTATGTTGATGATCTGGTAACTGGAGAACAAACCCCTGAGCATGCATTATCATTATATGAGGCTTCTAGTAACAATTTAGCTTCTGGGGGTTTCAAGCTAAGGAAATGGCTCAGTAATAGTAAACTTGTATTAGAGAAAATCCAATCAAAGGAAGAAATCAAGCCTGATAGAGGAAACTTGGCATGTGAAGAAACATTTGCTAAGTCATCCCTTTGCATGACAGGCAAAAATGACACATCAGAGAAAGTCCTTGGGTTAGCTTGGAATTGTACAACTGATGAATTTCAGTTTTTGTTTCGGGGTTTAGTTGAGAAAGCAAAATCGCAACCTGTAACCAAACGCAATATTCTTAGAATATTAGCTGGGTTGTTTGATCCATTGGGAATTCTTAGCCCAATGGTAGTAAGTATTAAGATGTTGTTTCAAGCACTGTGTTTGGACAAAGTAGATTGGGATTCTGAACTAAATGGAAACTATTTGAAGCAATGGTTAGGTTGGGTTCATGATCTTGAAGTTGTAGGTCAAATTATGATACCAAGGTGTGTGTATGGAAATCTAATTGGAAAACCCAAATGTTCATTACATGGGTTTGGTGATGCTAGTTTGAAAGCCTATTGTGCAGTTGTGTATTATGTCTGTGAATTAAATGGTAATTATCATGTTGAACTCCTTACTTCAAAGACTAGGG